AGCTGCCATCCAGACCCAACCATCTACGGAACATCAACAGAATCCAGGGAGGGTGAATCCTTACTTGCCCTGAATAGAAGGGGCTCTAGAGGCAGACATGCTGACGCAGGCCTGAGATCCTCCCGCTTGCAAGGCTGAAGCAGGAGGCTGAGAGAGAAAGGCCAGCCCGGGGTAGACAGGGAGTACCAGGCCAGCCCGGGGTAGACAGGGGGTACCAGGCCAGCCCGGGGTAGACAGGGGGTACCAGGCCAGCCCGGGGTAGACAGGGGGTACCAGGCCAGCCTGGGGTAGACAGGGGGTACCAGGCCAGCCTGGGGTAGACAGGGGGTACCAGGCCAGCCCGGGGTAGACAGGGGGTACCAGGCCAGCCCGGGGTAGACAGGGGGTACCAGGCCAGCCCGGGGTAGACAGGGAGTACCAGGGCAGCCCGGGGTAGACAGGGAGTACCAGGACAGCCCGGGGTAGACAGGGAGTACCAGGCCAGCCTGGGGTAGACAGACAGGGAGTACCAGGACAGCCTGGGGTAGACAGGGAGTACCAGGCCAGCCCGGGGTAGACAGGGAGTACCAGGACAGCCCGGGGTAGACAGGGAGTACCAGGACAGCCTGGGGTAGACAGACAGGGAGTACCAGGACAGCCTGGGGTAGACAGACAGGGAGTACCAGGCCAGCCTGGGGTAGACAGACAGGGAGTACCAGGCCAGCCTGGGGTAGACAGACAGGGAGTACCAGGCCAGCCTGGGGTAGACAGGGAGTACCAGGACAGCCTGGGGTAGACAGACAGGGAGTACCAGGCCAGCCTGGGGTAGACAGGGAGTACCAGGCCAGCCTGGGGTAGACAGACAGGGAGTACCAGGCCAGCCTGGGGTAGACAGGGAGTACCAGGCCAGCCCGGGGTAGACAGACAGGGAGTACCAGGACAGCCTGGGGTAGACAGGGGGTACCAGGCCAGCCCGGGGTAGACAGGGAGTACCAGGCCAGCCCGGGGTAGACAGGGAGTACCAGGCCAGCCCGGGGTAGACAGGGAGTACCAGGACAGCCTGGGGTAGACAGACAGGGAGTACCAGGACAGCCTGGGGTAGATAGACAGGGAGTACCAGGCCAGCCTGGGGTAGACAGACAGGGAGTACCAGGCCAGCCTGGGGTAGACAGACAGGGAGTACCAGGACAGCCTGGGGTAGACAGGGGGTACCAGGCCAGCCCGGGGTAGACAGGGGGTACCAGGCCAGCCCGGGGTAGACAGGGAGTACCAGGCCAGCCCGGGGTAGACAGGGAGTACCAGGACAGCCTGGGGTAGACAGACAGGGAGTACCAGGACAGCCTGGGGTAGACAGACAGGGAGTACCAGGCCAGCCTGGGGTAGACAGGGAGTACCAGGACAGCCTGGGGTAGACAGACAGGAAGTACCAGGACAGCCTGGGGTAGACAGGGAGTACCAGGCCAGCCTGGGGTAGACAGGGAGTACCAGGCCAGCCCGGGGTAGACAGGGAGTACCAGGACAGCCTGGGACACATGATAAAATTGTGTCTCACAATTGGCGCAGCAAGTGTGTTTGCTATGCAAGCATGAGAGCATGGGTTCAAATACCCAAAACCCAAGTTTAAAAAAAATTGCAGTTGAACATGGACCTGCAAACCCAGCACCATGAGGGAAGAGGTGAGTAGAGACGGGAGGATGGCTGGGGCCTGCTAGCTGCCAGCCTAGCTCTGTCTACAGTGGAAGACCATCTCCAAGGAATAAGGCAGAGAGAGAGAGCAGGACGCCCAGTGTCTTCTTCCGGCCTCCATGCACATATACAGGTGTGGGTACCCCGTCCCCCATTCCAAAAGCAAGCCTGGCGTGGTGACACACACCTGTAGTCCTGGTACCTAGGAGGTGGGGAGGTAGGATCAGGGGTTCGAGGCCAACCTTACCTACAAAGTGGCCTTGAGGCTATTGCAAGCTACATAAGATCCAGTCTCCAAAAAAAAAAAAAAGCTATGAAACAGGGCTGGAAAGATGCCTCAAGAGTTAAGAGCACTGGCTGCTCTTGCAAAGGACCAGGGTTCAGTTCCCTGCACCCGCGTGATGGCTCACAACCAGCTGTAACTCCAGCTCAAAAGCAGTGGATCCCTTCTCCCAACTTCTGAGGACACCAGGCACGCATGTGATACACACACATAGCTGAAAACACTCATGAAGTAAAATGTTTAATCTTAAAAAAGAAAACAAGGAAAAGAAGAAACAGGCAAGCGAAATGTCTCAGAGAAACAGGCAAGTGAAATGTCTCAGGAGGCAGAGATGCTCGATACCAAGTCTAACCTGAGTTCAGTGTCAGGAACCCACGTAGTGGAAGGAGAGTTACCCACTGACCTCACACACACACACACACACACACACACACACACACAATTGAATAAATAAATAAGCAAATATTTGAAATTTTAAAAGATGTTTTTGGTTTTTCGAGACAGGGTTTCTCTGTATTGTTTTGGAGCCTGTCCTGGAACTCACTCTGTAGACCAGGCTGGCCTCAAACTCACAGAGCTCTGCCTGCTTCCGCCTCCCCAGTGCTGGGATTAAAGGCGTGCATCACCAACGCCCGGTTTGAAATTAAAAATTTTAACACACACAGATTTCCAAAGACAGCGACCTACAGATGAGGCCAGCTCCCCCGGGCGCTCAGTGGCCAACAGTAGTGGCTTTTCTGCTTTTGAGGCTGGGACATCAGTGAGCATTCCAGCCCTGCTAGCAACAGAAGGAAGTGGGCAGGAAAGCGAAAGCCCAGCAGGGTATTTATTCAGTGTTGAGCATCATGAGTCTAGAACGGAAGGAAGCTCAGATCGTGTGGGAGGATGGAGGGGGGGGGTGCTGATGGATGTGGAGTGGAGAGGCTGGATTCCAGGGCCAGCCTGTACTTTTTGTTTTGGCACACTTTTCCTGACCAAACGCCAATGTTCTCACCACATAAATACCAGATGACATTAATAAGATCAGTCTATGAGACATTACCTGTAATGATGCCAGGCTGCACGCTAATGGGCTGGAAAACTTGGAGAGCTTCATCAAGATAAGGGCAAGGGAAATGGAAAGCGGTTTTGAAAGTTCAGGGGTGGGGAAGAGGCAGCTCGGAGGCACACTGGCCTCCAGCCGGTTTACCATCTACCTGCGCGGTGGCCTCGACCAGGATGCAGCCTGAGTCTGAGTTCGGAGTTTCGGCTACAAGGGTTGAACACTGATGTTTCGCTGCCATCTAGTGGACACTCAGGGCATCGCGGCTTTGGTTCACTAAAAGCTGTAATTACAGAAAAGTGGATGGGAGGAGGAGGGGGGAGGGGGAATAGGAGGACGGGGAGGAGGGGGAAGGGGAAGGGGAGGAGAGGGGGAGGGGAAGGGGGAAGGGAAGGGGAGGGGCAGGAGGAGGGGGAGGAAGGAAGGAAGGAAGGAAGGAAGGAAGGAAGGAAGAAGGAAGGAAGGAAGGAAAAAGAGGAGAAGGCTGCTGTTGGGACCAATCCTCCTCATTTTATCATCACCCATTTATTCAAATGTATGTATGGTGTATGTCATTTATGATCTATTGAAGCTTGTCTGAGGATTCAGAAAGCAAAGTCAGCCACAAGCCATAGAAGCCAGGCCCACACATTTAATCCCAGCAGCCAGAAGCTGGGAGGTGGTGGTACACACCTTTAATCCTAGGACTCAGGATTAAGAGATAGATGGATCTCTGTGAGTCCAAGGCCACTCAGATCTACACAAGAGTGATCCAGTCCTAAAGAGAAACAGCTCACATAGAGATGATCTCAGCCTCTGGGATCACAGCCTTTAATCCCAGCACTACAGGAGATAGGAGACAGGAACAGGGTCTTCAGTAGTCGGTATCAGGCATTCATTCTCCAGCCATGTTGAGAATGGGAACGCCCCAGCCCTGTTAGAGGTAAGGACTCTCTGGCTGCTTTGCTCCCCTGATCTTCAGTTTGAACCCCAGTGTCTGTCTCTGGGTCCTTTAGTTTTCGATGTTACAGAGAGGGCCCTTTGCCTCCTGACATGCATCAGCTGACACTGCTCAAGGTCAGCCTGAACTAAATCTTTACACTCTACTGCCCTCCAGGAGGGGATGGAGACAGGAGTTCTACACCCTGGTTTATAGCAGACAAGTCAGAACCACAGGTCAAACGCCCAGGCTCCAGATCGACAACTAAAGTGGGTATCAGCTGGATTCTGAGTCCTCTCAGTCTAAGAGATGTGGTCATGTCTCCAGGTAGACAGTGAAGGAACTGAATTAAATCGGAGGTGACTTCGCTGGTGTCCATGGCAATACCGTTGGCTCCTTGGTGAGGAGGGAGCCCCACACCTTTTGAGGTCAGAACTCTTCTGTGTTGATTTTTGTGTTGTGAGAACAAAAAATGAATACACATTTAGTGGGGAGTTGAGACACAGGGTCTTACACGGTAGCCCAGGCTGGTTGGCCTTAAAATCATGGAAGTTAGGTCAGGTGGTGGTGGCGGCGGCGGCGGCGGCGGCAGAGCACGCCTTTAATCCCAGCACTTGGGAGGCAGGGGCAGTTGGATCTGTGAGTTTGTTCTGTAGACCAGGCTAGCCTCAAAAATTACAGCCATCCTCCTGCTTCAACGTCCCACATGCTGGGATTACAAGTATGAGACACCCTGACAAGACTCTGACCCAGTCTCACTCTGGAGACCAGGCTGGCCTCGAACTCACAGAGATCCACCTGTCTCTGCTTCCTGAGTGTGGGGATTAAAATGTGTGCCACCATGCCCAGGCCCATGTGGAGACTCTTTAGGGATAAGTTCCTAATTAAGCTAATGTTTGCATATTGTTTCCACGTGTGTGGCTAAGTATGCGGATCGTAGTTCCTCCATAATAGAGTCCTAATCCTCTGCCCCACAGATTTTGTAGACATCCCCTGACCGCCTCATGACCTGTGCATACCCACACCCAGAATAAACATCTCTAAAATATATTGGTATTTTTAAGAAAATAAATAAATTTAAATTTTAAAAATGGTTGCCATCACATCTTTATTGCATACCCAGGCAAATACCTTATCCCACAACAAATGCATCCCACCCCAAGAATAAACACTGCCCACTTACAGAGTTTGAGGTGAACTCAGGATAGATCTATTACTGAGGCTGGGGAGCAAAAGTGGAAGGAGTGTGTGTCAGGAATTTATGGAACTAACAAAACCCAAATTCTCCCAGCAGGGAGAAACAGGCCTTGCCTACTCCAGTAATGCCCAGAAGAGCTCCTGGCAAAGCACGTGGAGGTCTGGGGCTGGCAGCATGTTTGGAGGTGACGCGCCCTTGTAAATCAGTGTCCAAGCTGCTCAGGCCATCGTGGGGCAGCGTACTGAGAGAAGACACTTAGTGACCTTTAACCTCTCCTACCCAGGCACGAAGACCTGGGAGGGCGGGGCCAGGTTAGCTTCCAGTGGAGCCAGGGTGGAGACCCACACCTTTCTGGGTGTGTGCAAATTGCAGTTCTGCTCTGTGCCAAGTGATCCTCGTGGAACCCACCCAGGGTCTGATGAATTGGCTTCCGAAGATGAACAAGTCAGTGAGGAGTTAGATGAGCAGGTGTTTGCTCCCATTCACGGGAGAGGTAAGAGTCTCATCCTGAGTTGCCCAAGACTCCCACCTCCAAGAAGTACCCTAAGAATGAACAAAGGAACACACTGGAACACTGCGGAGAGGCAGTCTGTTAGGAGCAGCAGCCCCAGACAGAAGGACAGCAGTGTGCCGGACGGGGAGCAAGCTCTCGTGTGCAGTGCCCCTGGGATGCTCGGGATTCCGCTCGCATCTGCAGGGCTCCTGGCTGGGCCTGCTGCTGACTCTGGTTGTCCTATTCTTCTCAACAGCTAGCTGTCCCCTTTCCGCCCCTCGTAGTTATTGTATGGACTGGCCGGGGCCTGGGCCCTCGGGATGGAGAAATCCTTTGGAGGACTTCGGTTCTGTAAAGGAAGTGATCGTTTGGTTAGAGCATCCATGGCCATCTCAGGGAACCTCCAGTGCTCGTCTCAAAAGGTCTCTGCAGGTCCCCCCTGGGCCTGTCTGTGCCACCCCAACTCCGAGGGGCACAGTGTGGGAAAGCAGGCGTGCCATCCATCCCTTCAGGATGGCCACTAGGGAGCCACCAAAGTATCTGTTCCCAAAGGACAGCTGTCCCTGGGAGGGGCCAGTGAGGAACGACAAAGGTCACTTACCTGCAGCTGAAAGTGAGTTGAGTAAGGAGCGTAGAGTGTGTCCCCTGTCTCGAGACCTGAAACAGAGGGGGGGGGGGAACTGAGGCACCTGGGCCACACCTGTGCTTCCCTCACCGCGTCACTTGTCATGGTGTCTGTGACGGTTGGTCCCTCGGGGCCTCAGCAGTTCAAATGTCTTGCAGGGAAAGAACCCGCCTTCCAGCCCCAAACCAGACCCTCCCATCCCAGGGCCATGGGGACTTATTCATGTCCTGACCTGGGAAGAGTTTCTGAGTGACTGTATTGTGGGTATTTGGGGACAATCACAGGGTGTTTGAACTTGAGCTGGCTTTAAGACAGCCCATTCGTTTCCTGATGAATTTACTTGGCCCCGCCCCCTTACTAAAGGCTTCTTCATTAAGATAGTGTGAGGACCTGGCCAGGGAGGTGGACATCTGTAATTCCAGAACCTGGGAGGTGGAGGCAGAAGGATCAGGAGTTCAAGGTCATCTTTAACTACACAGTGAGTTCCAGTCCAAACTGGGTTCCATGAGACCTTGTCTCCAAAAAACAAAATAAGTCCTGCCAAGGTATCGAGCTCCATCTCAAGACCCACGGGTAGAAAAATGCTGAAACTTGTCCTCTGACCGCCATATACATGTGTGTTGTAACTAAAATGCGCGTGCGCACACACACAGTAAATAAATAAACAGTATTAAAATTTTCAGACTAAAAATAAATAAACAAGCAAAGATAGTATGTTCATAAGGTGTGCCCTGCCCTGTAAGAACTACAATAAATACACAAATCACTACCAAATGAGGCAAGCGCTAACAAGAATACCTCGGTCCTACAGGCACGCTCACACACACACAGTGGAGCCGTTTCTAAGACAGGCTGGGGAATGCTGGACTCTGAAGCAGGCAGAAGACCACATCAGACAAGCAGCTGCACCCTAACCAGTCATAGAGACCGGGGCTTCCGTTGTGGAAGGCCTCACTACTTATGCAGACCTGGCAAAACAGGATGTGGGGAGAAATGTGAGCTAATAGACACTGACTAGAAAGACACCTGAGAACGGAAGCAGCCAGGGGCCCGAAACACAAAAGGCAAGGCGTCAAGCCAGCCACACGTCCACAGTCTCAGCACGCCAAAGACAGAGGTGGCAGGGTTAGCATCTAGTGGCCAGTCTGCTCTTCACAGCAAGTTCAAGGACAGCCAGGACTACATAGCAAGACCTAGCCTCAATACAGGAAAGTCTTTCACACACTTATACACAAAGCTTCCTTGCCATGGTGGACTCTCGCCCCTCTGGAATCAGAAGTCAACATGGTTTGCTTTGGGTCTTAGTACTTTGTCAAAGCAACAGAAAGGTGACTAATAAAGTCACTGGTCTACTAATACAGATGGTGGTTTACTGATACAGATGTTAGCCTACTGAAGATCAGAATCTGTAAATGGCCAGTGAGTTCCTTATAGTTTGGGGGTTTTGTTTCAGGGGGCGTTGGGGTTTATTTTAAGATTTATTTTTATGTGTATAAGTGTTTTTCCTGTATGTAAGTACACTACCATGTGTGGTATTCATGGAGGCTAGAAGAGGGTACAAGATTCCTGGAGTTGGGGTTGCCAGTGGTTGTGAACGATGGAGTAGATGCTGGGCAGCAAACCAGTCCCCTGCAAAAGCAGCACGTGGTCCTAACCATGAGCCACCGCGCCAGCCTGTTTGGTTTTGTTTGTCTGCTTGCTTGTTTGCTTTCTGAGACAGGGTCTCAGTACAGGCCTGAGCCTCCGCACCCCAGTATTCTTATGGTTACAGCCAATGCCTCTGCCTCTGCCTCTGTCTCGGCTTTTGCTTCTGGGTTTTGTCGTTTGTTCCCTCCTGTCTCTGTCCCTCTTTTCCATAACTGGGATGACAGGGTGGGCTCCAGGTGCCTTGGCTGGGATTACAGTCTGGTTAAGACAAAACCAGGAGACACTAGGGCGGTTAGGAAATGTCCTTCGGCTGGGAATGAAATTGCTGGTGTGATTTCCAGAAAATGGCAGGTCTTATAGTTGGGAATGTTTTTGTAGCTAGTTTGTTTTATTTTTCTTGGAGTTTTTTGTTTGTTTTGGGTTTGGTTTTTTGTTGTTGTTTTGTTCGTTTTCGTTTTTTTGATACAGGGTTTCTCTATGTAGCTATGGCTGACCTAGAACTCGCTCTCTAGACCAGGCTGGGCTTGAATTTACAGAGATCCACCTGCCTCTACCTCCCGAGTGCTGGGATTAAAGGCACGCGCCACCACCGAGCAGCTTGTTTTTGTGTTCCTGAGAGCACCTCATGTACGCCAGGCTGGTCTGGAAATCCTTGTGTTGCCAAAAATGACCTTCAACTTCTGGTCTTCCTGCCTCTACCTCCCAAGTGCTGAGCTTACCCACTTTTAGTGACGCTGGAGGGGTCTCTTTTTGTTCATGCTTAAGCAAGCACTGCACTGACAATCTACATGCCCACAGGGTATTCTGAGACACAGTCTTTCTACATGACCCATCTTAAACTCATGATCCTCCTACCTCCATCCCCTAAGTGCTGAGATTAGAGACGAGATGTGCGCACACGAGCCTGAACTACCATGTCCAGTTTCTGCCCCCATCTTTATACCAAAGCCTCCTGGACCGTACCTTGGGTGATTTCCTCTTGGGAGTAGGCCCTGTTCTCTACGCCATAGCTCTGCTTCATGAGTTGAGGTTTACAGAAAGCATCCTCTACTGGGTAATCTGTGGGGCTCCGTTGCTTCGGGAGCAGTAGAAACTCGGGGAAGACGTAGAACGCCAGGAAAGCCCAGCCATTGGCAACCAAGGCTGTGCAGAGAATCGTGTCGTCCCACTCAGGGCGGATGTCGGGAATCAGGAGCAGGACGATCCAGGCCACCCAGATGGCAATGGAGGCGAATGAGGTCAAGCATATGTGGGCCCCGTGTCTCTTCCAGCCGGGAAAGGACCCGCAGAAAACGAAGAGGGATGCGAAGAAGGTCAGCGCCATCAATAGGAGCACGTAGATGAGCAGCATGACGAAGTCCTCATTGCGCCGAGGGGCGGGCAGCTCGGAAAAGACATCGACATTGGTCCTGTTCATGGTGAGGACCAGGTATTCAATGGCAATGACGTCCTGGACTAGGCTGAAGCCCACTGCCAGGCTGAGGATCACAAGCCACGACAGGGGCTTCCTCCCTCGGACCAGCTTGATCAAGTCGAAAGCGTGGGCCAGGAGGCAAGAGAAGCAGACGGCGAAGAGGACCCCGAAGAGGAAGAAGCGTGTGGGTCCTGTGGCCCCATCCAGCTTGATGATGAAGGCGAAGGTGAGGCCAAAGACCCCCAGCACCCCCAGGAGGAAGAGGAACTGGGTGGGGAGCACCTTTCGCCTGTTCGAGTCCTGCACTTTGCAGATGAGGATCAAGAGGGCAAACATGAAGGCCACTGTGGCCACAGCCCCCACCGCGGCGAGCGTTTCCAGGGCGATGCCCCAGGCTTCAGCCAGGTCGCAGAGTCTGTAGTACCTGGGGTCCAGGTCTGAGCGGCAACCACTAGGGGCAGACATTTTGGTTGGTCCTATGATTAAAATAAGAAGGAGCATAGTCAGGGACCAGGCAAGCCTCTGAGACACAGGATGGAAACGGGACTGTGTTTAGTCAGTCTCCCTTGTAAACTTACTACATTAAAACTAACCGAGGAGAGGGACTCGGACCTCACTCTTCTCTGAGAGTCTACAGGTAGTTTACGTTGCTGCGGATGGGGAGATTCAGCCACTGGCAAGTGCCCATGCTTCTGCATGTAACCCTGACTAAACTCGTTGGTCCCATCCTCCAACCTACTCACCCCTACATATCCACAGGCTCACACCTGCAAAAGTCAACTCTTCTGTTCCTCCTACGACAAATTCTAGGGGCCAGTGAAGACAGGGAATGAATCTTATATTTTCGATTTAACTCTATTAATCTCCTTTGATTTGTTTTGTTGTTGTTTGGCTTTGGGATTTTTATTGTTGCTTTTAATTTGGTGTTAATTAATGTTTGTATTAGTCTTGTTGTCTGAGATGCAGCCTCTCTGTGTATCCCTGGTGAGCCTGGCACTCCATATGTGCCCAAGCTGGCTTCAATCTTCTGGCGGTCCTCCTGCATCAGCCTCTTAAATTACAGGCGTGAGTTTCCATGACCAGTCTGGAACATCACTGGCTTATTGCTGTCTTTTGAGAAAGATCTTTCTATAAAGCCCAGGCTGGCCTCCAGCTCGCTACCCTCATAGCTCAAACTCCCGTACACTAAAAAGGTTAGAAGTTCCCAGCTGAGAAATGACCCACAAAGCCCAGAATCTGCTCACCCATTAGAACCAGAAACTGGCTGCGTGGACCACAGCTGACTTCCTGTCTGTCCTTAACACCTCAGGGAAAAAAGCCTTTTTTTGTTCTGTCCCTTACCCTTGTTGCCCAAACCCATGACTTCTAAATACTCTGAAGAACAGGAAGACAAAGGACGAAAGACACAGGAATCTTCACATGTGAAAGCCTGTGTCAGAAAGACACTGAAATTCAAAAGGGCTAGACATGGCTGTCTATGGATCCTGAATGTCTTAAATAAAAACCTATGAGTTACTATGACACTTCTAGACTATCACTTTTGTCTTATTGTTTGTCACTTGTGTTTTTTTTCTCTCTCTCTCATTAGTTTTTCTTTCGTCCTTTCTATTTTATCGTTTCTTGAGGCAGGTCTCATGTAGACCAGGCTAGCCTCAAACGAGCTTTGTAGCCAAGGATGGCCTTCACCTCTGCTGGCTCCCCCTGAGTGCTAGGATTACAGGCTGGCACCAGCATGCCTGATCCTTTCTCTCCTTAGCCTTCTTTTCCCCTGTGGGTTTGCTCGGTCCACAGCAAGTAGGGAGTCCACTCAAGAATCCGGGGTAGATCAAATAAATAAATAAATAGATAGATAAATAAATAAAAACAACAACAAAAAACTTCCTCCAAATTTAAAGTCAGGCATGGTGGCACCTGCCTTTAATCCCAGCACTCAGGAGGCAGAGGCAGGTGGATCTCTGTGAGTTTGAGGCCAGCTTGGTCTACAGAGCGAGTTCCAGGACAGCCTCCAAAGCAATACAGAGAAACCCTGTCTCGGAAAAAAAAAAAGAAGAAGAATCTGGGGTAGATTCTACAGCCAGCTGTGTCTGGCTGGGAAGGGTGTAGCCATGGAGGACTACTCTTCGGGAAGGCACAGCACTCCTCTAGAGTGGGACAGAGAGGGGGAGGAAGAGGTCAGAAATGAGAGGGAGGCCAGGGATGGAAAGCACTGAATGGAACCAGTGCACAGCATCAGCTGCATCAGGGCCTCTCTCCAGGGAGCAGAAAAGCAATGAGTCCGAGTTGCCTCACCACACAGCAATGCTTGCAGGTGAGACTTTGCAGCCGACTTACAGAGTGCCTGCTACTGTGGGATACTGTGCCCACCCAATAAATAAGGACCTCACTGCCCCCCTCTCCCATCCCATGTCTTTACGATCAATTCAAAAGGCAGAGAGAGCCATGTCTCACTAACCAAAGAACAGCCTCGTCAGCACGGACGGAATTCAAATACCCGCTTCCCCTAAGGAGGCAAAACACTTGGGGAGCTGAGGCAGGAGGATTACTGTGAGTTGGAGGCCAGCCCGTGCTACAAGTTTTAGTTAGTTTGGGCTAAAGAGTGAGACCCTACCATGAATAAGTAACTGCTAAGTTAGGTGAGACAAGCCATCCTACTAAAATTATTTTATTCATGTAGTAATGGGTAAAAAATTATGTAGATGAGTAACATATACACATGAATTCACTTATGTAAATGCATAGTGTATACATTGGAATTTTTAAAAAGTATTCATTATGTATACAGTGTTCTGCCTATATGCTAGAAGAGGGCACCAGATCTCATTACAGATGGTTGTGAGCCACCATGTGCTTGCTGGGAATTGAACTCAGGATCTTTGGAAGAACAGGCAATGCTCTTAACTGCTGAGCCATCTCTCCAGTCCATGCACTGGGATTTTTAAGAGTTTTTATCTTTAATTATGCGCATGCAGGTGTGTCTATGTGTGGGTATGTTCATGTGAGTGCAGGTGCCCTCAAAGGCCAGGAGAGGGGGTCAGATCCCCAGGAGCTGGGGTTACAAGTGACTGAGTATTGAGTGCTGGGAACTGAACTTCAGTCCTCCGGAAGAGCAGCAGGCACTGTGGCTGCTGAATGGTCTCTCCAACCCCAGTCACTAGAACTTTGTGTACAGCGTGCTACTCTAAATGTTTAACTCTGCCTCCTTACTTTTTAATGAAACTTGGCTCTTCAAGGTTCACTTTACATTTTATAATCAATCATTCAACAACGTTCACTTCTGCCGGGCGTTGGTGGCGTACGCCTTTAATCCCAGCACTTGGGAGGCAGATGCAGGCGAATCTCAGTGAGTTGGAGACCAGCCTGGTCTACAAGAGCTAGTTCCAGGACAGCCTCCAAAGCCACAGAGAAACCCTGTCTCGAAAAACCAAAAACAAAAGTTTGATTCTATGTCTCTGTAGCATCTGCCCTTCCCTACTCCACAGCTCAGCTAAACCTCAGTCCCCATTGTGAGATAATAAGAAGGTGGAAACTTCTGGACATGACTGTACACACCTATAAACCCAGCATTTAGAAGAGGCGGGTGGGAAGATCAGGAGTTCAAGACCAGCCTGTGATGCATATTGAGTTTGAAGACATCCTGAACAATGAGACTCTGCATGACTCAAAACCGAAACAAGATCACTTGATCAGACGAAGGCATTTAAATGGCACCTTTGGGAGTTTTAGGGGGTTAGATGAGGTCATTAGCATAGAGTGCCCATGATTGAATCCTGGTTGTTCTATAAGAGGGGGAGAGACCAGAGAAGACACGTGTGCACCCACAGGCTTCCTGTTCCATGTTGAGTGATGCCTTGTTGTCATTGGACACTTTGTGGGACCATGAGATTTTTGCCAGCAAGACAGCCATTCCCAGATGCTATCCCTAACTCTTGAGCTATAAGAATGAGCTTTCTTCTCTATATAAAGTCATCCATCCTCAGCTGTCTCACTATAGTAATGACAACTAACACCTGAGTCCCACTGTGTGCCAATCACGAGAACTCTGGGCGGGGGGAGGGACATTGCTCAGTAGTAGAATTGCTCAGTAGTAGAATTCTTGCTTAGCACGCAAAATGGCCTAGGTCCAATCCTCAGTAACACACACACACACACACACACACACACACACACACACACACACACACACACACTAGCCCAGTCTCATCTAGAGGTACAAGGGCAAGACAAGGGACACACGTCTGACATGTCATCTCATCCTTCCCCGCCCTTTCAGATTAGTCACAAAGGTCTCTGTTGGGATGACGCTTCTGTTTCTCCATGTTCCCTGGCCCTCCTTGTGCCAATTCACCCCTCTGGGTTCTGCTGTCTGTGGACAAGCATCTGTTAATCATAACCACTTGATCTTTGGGAAGGACTTTGAACCTGATGACGATGAATCTTGACAGAGATCAGCAACCTCTGGCCTAAAAGACAATTGCAGCACTAAACAAAGGAACATAGGCATTGGTCCCTAGCTTCTCTGTAACTGTGCAGGACTATGTCCTGCTTGACGCCTCCCAACTCCGAAGACCAGGGCATTTGGTGGTGTGTCTTTTAAATATCAAGCATCCATCTAGTTGTGTGTGTGTGTGTGTGTGTGTGTGTGTGTGTGTGTGTGTGTGTGTGTAGAACCTAGGGCCTCATACATTCTAGGCATGTGCTCTACCCCAATGCCACAAATAACCTTTTAGAAAACTTTCATGGTTTTGTTTTTAAACTATGATTTATGCACTTTTGGTTTTTTTCTCTGTGTAACAGCCCTGGCTGGCCTAGAACTCACTTTGGAGACCAGGTTGGCCTCAGACTCACTGAGATCCACCTGCCTCTGACTCCCAAGTGCTGTATGTTTTTTATGACCCAATGCATTTCATTAGGGCTACATATAGGAACATGCAGCTATTGAAGAAAATGCCTACCCCCCCGGCCCCCCCCAGCCCTCTCAACCAGTAACTACGCACAAACCCTCAGGGGGGTGTGGGGCCTTGTGAGCCCCCCCTCCTCTCACAATAGGGTGTGGACAAGCACCGGTGTGGTTTTTTGAGACAGGGTTTCCTGCAGCCCAGACTAGCATCAAACTTGGTCCTCTTTCCTCTCCCTCCCAAGTCCTGGGATTACAGGCCTGCACCACCCCAAGCAGCAGCACAGCAAAGAGTCTTAGTGAGTATTTTGTGTGGGGGTGACTAATTTGGGGGGAGTTACCAATGTAATTCACCTATTAACCCTCCTCCACCCTTTCCCCAGCTGGCTGGGATTGCTCCACAAGTCTAAAAGTGTCCTAAATACTTGGAATTTAGTCGGAGGACAAGAAAACTCACTTGAGAAGCAAGGGTGTGTGTATTGAAAACCTGCTGCAGCACCAGAATATGATCCTAAGGAAAGAAAGAAGCCACGAAGGTGCCGAACACAGGTTCTTAGCTTTGCTGTAGAGTTTTTTTTTTAC